AAGGAGCTGTGTGTGTGTGTGTGTGTGTGTGTGTGTGTGTGTGTGTGTGAGAGAGAGAGAGAGAGAGTGTGTGGGGCTAGGCCCAACCAGGTGTTTCAACAGCTCGGTGGAGATTAAAAGGTTTCTCAGTCGTGACAGAATCAAAGTAACTCTCCAGGCTTGTTTCTGATGAGGGACCAGCACTATAAGACGATGTAAAGCTGAGAACTGTTGGTTTTACCTGATTCTGGTCCTTTAACATAAAGGAGCTGATGAACCTGAGCAGTTATTGCATCATCCAGATTGTTCCTCTCACAACATGTCAGTTGTGCCTCAGCATGTCCTGATCAGCAGCCAGACATGCTCCTGCTGCAGGCCGGCCCCAACATGCAGCTGTGCTCCTCTGATGGTTCCGGTCGGGTCCAGACGACCCGGATGCTTCCAGCTGCAGTGAAGTGGCTCGGCTGGAGCAGTCTGGTTCTGAACCACGGCTCCAGGCAGCTGCAGCTTCCCTGGTCATGTAACCGCTAAACCGGATTTCTCTGAGTCTGTGTAGGATCTGTGCAGCAGAGTTCAAAGGTCAGGACCTCCTCCAGAACCTCAGATCTGTTATGGATCCATGAGGAACGTCAGGATGTGTCCTGAGTTCCTTTCTGTTGAAACTTTGATGTCTCATTTGTGATGCTAGTGGGACGAAGATGATCATTATTTTAAAATGACTTCATCATGACTCCTCACAGACTCCTTGTGCTTTGTTCTGATGTTTACCGCTAACCTGGAGGCTTGATGCACAGACTCCATGTTTAGCACCACCTACAGGTTTGGAGGAGTAGAATGAGCATTTTTTAGCTCTGCCTCAGAACTTCACCATCAGGAGGTCCTGACGTAACGACGTGGCTCCTCAGTCTGGATCGGTCCAATCGAAACCAGCTGGACTAGTCGGCTGTTCCAGTCAGCAACCAGCTGAGAGTGGAAACAGGTCACCGACTCAGATCCACTTCCTGATCAGTTTTCTGGTGAAATTCCACTCATGACGTGATGCGTTTTGAGTTCCATCTTTGGTATAGTCAAAGCGCAGTCAGACAGTCAGTAGGGTGCAGCTTTTATTTTTCTAACAGGGCCTCTTCTTCCTCCTCCTTCTCCTGTTTTTCCTCCTGGCTCCTCTCAGCCGCCGGGGCCCCTCGGAGCCCCTCGGAGCCCCATTGTTGGTCTCCACGGTAACCTTTGTTGGCTGGCCAGCCCTGGGACACATTAGCAGCACAATGCCCGCCCCCCCTCCAGCCCTGCTTTATATTCTGTCCCTACTCTTCCTCTCCTGTCTGCGTCCTGAAAACACGTCTCTATTGGTCGTCTTCCTTTTCCTTCCTCAGACGATTTTCCAGGCTGATGCGTCACATTTGATCGACTTCATAAAACGTGTAAAGCAGCGATGGATAAGATACAAGGTCCCGGGTTGGAATCCCGATCTGGGAGTCTTTCTGCATGCTCCCTGTGGATGTGTGGGTTTTTTCTGGGTTCTCTCTGGGTTCTCTCTGGGTTCTCTCTGGGTTTTCTCTGGATTTTCTCTGGGTTCTCTCTGGGTTTTTTCTGGGTTCTCTCTGGGTTTTCTCTGGGTTTTTTCTGGGTTTTTTCTGGGTTCTCTGGGTTCTCTCTGGGTTTTTTCTGGGTTCTCTCTGGGTTTTCTCTGGATTTTCTCTGGGTTTTCTCTGGGTTCTCTCTGGGTTTTTTCTGGGTTCTCTCTGGGTACTCCAGCTCCCCCCGCCTGTCCAAAAACATGGCTGCTAAGTTAATCAGTCTGTCCAAATTGTTCTTTGGTCGAACTGACTCCTTTGATGGACTGGTGACCTGTTGACCCCAACACCTCGCCCCGTTAGGATTTTCTCTAATTAAAACCAGATCAAATGTACTCATACACCCTGTCCCTGGTGCGTCTTTAAAGCTGCAGTTTAATTATTCTAGAACAATCCTTACAGGAGATGGACCAATAACCAATTAATATATTCAAAGCCAAAGCAGCACAAACGTTTTCCACCAGTTTTGTCTGACTTGAAGAAGGTGGGGGGGAGACCAGCGATACATGAGGAATCGATTTTATCCACTGATCTTATCTACTTGCACGTGCGGTTAACAATATTCACCCCAATGTTGCAAACCTAGTGACTTTGTTGTTATATTCAGCAACTTTTCAGACAAAACATAAATCAGTATTGAGTTTGATTAAAGCAAACTAAGCAGGCCTGGTGTGAATGGAAACATGACCAGTTATTGTTGGATACATGCGCTCTGATCAGCCTCACTGCGTTCGGCACATAAGCTGCAATCAGCAGCAGAGATGATGTGCAGTTTATGGGCAAGAAGAGGAAAACATGAGGATGTTTGATGACCTGTGATGATTCAGAGCATTGGCGATGATTTTCAGACTGTTAACGGCTGAAGTTGATGAAAATGTTTCAATCATTCTTTTCATTTTCTTTGCTTGTCCGCGTTAAATCCTCTGATTATCTGAGCAGCCTGGCCCACGGCCAATCAGAGGAGAGTTTCCATCATTCTCTGCCTCTGATTGGTTTAGACTTTCAGGAGACTTTCAAACATTTTTTCCCCTCCTGTGTCGTATTTAGCATCAGGTTTCACTGTAGATCCCAGAATGGATCAGATTTTAGATAAAGATGCAACATTAGTTCAAACCTCAGCCATGAATCACTTTGTCCTAGTGTAGTCCAGAAGGTGAAAAGGTCTGGTCTGTTAAACGTCCCTCAGCAGTCAGCATGGACACACACACACACACACACACACACACACACACACACACACCTTGTTGAGGCGTGTGTGTGAAATGGGACAGGGACTGGAATAATTTCTGGGTTACAGAGTATAGACAGTGTTTCTGTTCTACTCAGCATCACTGCTCAAACACACACACACACACACACACACACACACACACCCCGCTGACATGCCAGGGGTGGGGAGGGGTCGTATAAAGGGGGATGTAAATATATGTAGGAGACGGGGGAGGGGAAAAGAAACGAGTCAGAAAACTGTCAATGATTGATGGTGATGTGGAGTAAGAGATCAGGCCAACTGCAGAGAAACACACACACACACACACAGAGCTGTGAAGGCATTTAACACACATTGTCCTCTGCTCTCACACACACTGTAGAAGTAAATATTGGCCTGGGGCGAACGATGTGTGTTTTCAGCTCTGCGGAGGGGGATGATGGGGCGTGGGAACATGGACACCTGTTGGTTCTGCAACAGGCTGCAGCTTTAGGCCAGTAGGGGGAGCGGTAGCTGCAGAGAGGGTCGGTTCTGGTCCGCTAATCATCCATTAATGAGAAGAGTCAGAGTGGATCTGGGTCCGAACCAGAACCCAGAGTTACTGCTGCTCCAGCTGCTGGGGCAGAACCCAGACGGTGTCTAAGTCCAAACGCAGCCCAGTGCTTCATCCTGATCCGGTTCAGAGCTGCAGAACCTCCAGAAAACGTTCTGAAGGAAGCTTTCAGAGTTTCTCTGCTTCTGCACAGCAGAACTGATCAGACGAAGTCCCAACATCCCTCAGTAAGCATCGCCTCGCCCACAGGAAACCGTGTGTGTGTGTGTGTGTGTGTGTGTGTGTGTGTGTGTGTGTGTGTGTGTGTGTGTGTGTAGGTGTGTGTGTGTTATTGTCTGGTGCCTAAAGGAGTCCAGCTGATGTCCATCTGGACTCCAGGAATCGGAGCAGCAGCTCCTGGGAGGAGGAGGAGTGTGAACTGAGGGGGAGAGAGAGGGGTGTGTGTGCCTGGGGAGCGGATTTGGATGGTCGAGGGTCCTTCATGTCCATCTCCCTCTGAACGTCCTTTATGATGTGCTAATGAAGCACAGAGGCAATGAGAGATAAACAGAGAATCTACAAGAACGCAGCAGCTTGACCCGGTCCAGTAGCCTGGAGTCCAGATATGACCCAACACACTCACTCCTGTAGATCTGTGGCGTAGGTTGTGGAGTGATCTGTGCAGTGATCCACACAGGGTGATCCACACAGTGATCCACACAGGGTGATCCACACAGTGATCCACACAGTGTGATCCACACAGTGATCCACACAGTGTGATCCACACAGTGTGATCCACACAGTGATCCACACAGTGTGATCCACACAGTGTGATCCACACAGGGTGATCCACACAGTGATCCACACAGTGTGATCCACACAGTGTGATCCACAGTGTGATCCACACAGTGTGATCCACAGTGTGATCCACACAGTGATCCACAGCGTGTCTGTGTGCTACGTGCGCTCTGGCTGCTCTCTGAGGATGATGACGGTGTTGCTGACGGATCAGGTAATCCTCTGGCTGACGTCCGTCTCTGAGCCGATGGAAACTCCCAGGATTAGCTCTGAAAACGCCTCTGGAAGTCGCTCTCATCAGACGAGTGAGCGGTTCTGTTTCCGTGGTGATCGGTCCGGTTGACCCGGTTGCTTCTGGCTCACCGCCTGTTGAACCGGGTTTTAGATGTTGGGAATGACGGTCATCAGAGTTTGTCTGTGAGTTTCCTCTGGACTCCACCAGCCTGGGAGCAGTGGGAATGCTCCTCACTAACCGCCGTGTGTTTTCTCCCGCAGCGTTCCCACCGTCCCGGTGAAGAACCTGAACGGGTCCAGCCCGGTCCACCCCGCGCTGGCCGGTAAGAACCAGCAGCTGGTTTCATCGGATCGCAGAGCGAGCCGAGGGCCGGATCCCACCCGCTCTGCTCTCTGTTCCAGGGATCACCGGGATCCTGATGAGCGCCGCGGCGCTGCCCGTGTGCCTGACCCGGCCGCCCAAGCTGGTGCTGCACCCCCCACCCATCAGCAAGAGCGACATCAAGCCGGTACCGGGCTTCAACCACTCCTGCAGGAAGACCACCAAGAAGCAGGTCCGCAAAGGTAAGCTCCAACCTGGCAACCGCTTCTCAGGTCGTCATCATCATCATCATGTGCTTCAAATGTTTTCTGTCGTCATCTGAACTTTCTGGTGGAAACTAGGCATTTCAATGGAAAATTGAGTGGAAGGAAAACTGTTAGAAAAGTTTGAAGGTTTCTTTAACTGAAAGTCGTAATCATTGAAATGAACAGAAAAACTTGTATATAATCTATATAATATAACATAAAAGTAGGCAGATCAATAATATCAATATCAAGTTGATATCAGTATCAGATCGATAATAGTGTGGTAAAAGCCATACTTTAGTTTCAGATTCCCTCTTAATTTTGTTTTATTTTGGTATTATAGTTTCTCAACTCTTCCCCCAAAAAGATTTTGTTTCAGTTTTCTCTCAAATGATAATTTTGTTTGCAGTTTGTTCATTTAGGAAAATATACACAAATATTATGTTTTTTAAATATTTTGTTAGAAGTATCAGTATCAGTCTGTTGCCAAAAATATTCTGTATTGCTCTCTGATATAAAACTCTCTGTGTGTAAAGAGCCTAAACGGATGTTTCATGGAATTAAATTTGTAAAATTAATGAATTTGTTGATGATACTGTGATTTAGTGAGCTGTGTTGATATTTCTGTTGAAGTCTGTTGAAATATCAATCTTTTCAAATCCTCTGCATTAAATTATGTGAAATCTGTAAAAAAGCTTGATTTACACTTTCCCTCTTCATTTCTTGTGTTTCTGCAGGTAAAACTCCAGAGGAGGTTGTGAAGAAATACCTGCAGAAAGTAAAAAGTCCTCCAGAGGAGGTGAGTCCTGCCTCTGACTGTCACTGCTGATGAATCTGTGAAGATACTGCAGACTAACGTTGGTTCTGTGGGTCTCTTCCAGGACTGCACCATCTGCATGGAGCCACTTGGGGGCCCGTCCGGGTACAAAGGTCCGGGCGTTGGACCCGTCTCCAAGGCAGAGTCGGTGGGTCGCCTCACCCAGTGCGGACACCAGTACCACTTCCAGTGTCTGGTGGCGATGTACAACAATGGCAACAAGGACGGCAGGTCGGTCCAGTACCAGACCCAGAACCAGGCCCAGAAACAAGCCTAAGGTCTCTGAGAGGGAAAATAACCCGACTTCCTGTCTCAGCCTCCAGTGTCCCACCTGTAAGACCATCTACGGCGTGAAGACTGGCAACCAGCCAGCCGGGAAGATGGAGTACCACGTCATCCCCCACTCCTTACCGGGTCACCCCGACTGCAAGAGCATCCGCATCATCTACAACATACCGCCAGGGATTCAGGTACCGACCCGCGGCGCACTCCGCTTGCTGACGTGCTGCCATCAGACACTAACAGGAAGCTTTTCCTCCAGGGACCAGAGCACCCGAACCCGGGGAAGCCCTTCACTGCCAGAGGCTTCCCGCGACACTGCTACCTCCCAGACAGCGAGAAGGGGCGCAAGGTAACAACGCCTGCAACATTTATTTACACTGGCACTTATGATGCGCTACCATGGAAACAAAGCTGCTGATTAGCCTATCAAAAGATCAGAGAGAAAAGAAAGATCATCCCCTACTCTAACGTTTCAAACCAAACAGCCAGAAAGAGATTTAAGGAGGAACAGCAGAAGGAAAGGCGGTGGATTAGCGGAGCTAGCTAACAGCTGATGATGTCATCCAGGACATGTTGCTGTGGGATATCTGCTCTGCTGCCTGGATACTGAGCTGTTAGCATGATATGAGGGTCATGTTAGCGACAGTCTTCAGTCAGAGGCCTCTTCAGATTGGCTGTAAGACTGACTGCAGAGAAACTCGGATGACTTCCAACAACATTTAGTTTCCCTTTGGAACAAATAAAGTTTTTCATTAAATGTTAAATGTGGGTCCAAACTGGGTCGTCAGCAGAACCATGATCCAAACACAGCAGCAAATTAACAACCAAACAACAGAAAGACGGAAGAATCGAAGAATCTCCAGATTGCAGATTGAAAAACGAGGCAGTAACGGCGGTTCTGCTGACGCGGCTTCTCTCCGACCCGTCTGCAGGTTCTGAGGCTGCTGCTGGTGGCGTGGGACCGCCGGCTGATCTTCTCCGTCGGAACGTCCAGCACCACGGGAGAATCCGACACCGTCATCTGGAACGAGGTGCGGAGTCCGCTCAAACCTCCAAGCTAACCATGCTAACCATGCTAACCACGCTAACAACGGGATGTTTCTTCACTTTCAGGTCCACCACAAGACTGAGTTCGGGTCCAACCTGACGGGCCACGGATTCCCCGACCCGGGTCACCTGGACAACGTGTTGGAGGAGCTCCGAGCTCAGGGCATCACAGAGGAAGATGCACTGGTAGAGAAGTGAGAGAGGAAGAGGAGGAAGACTCTCTGCCAGCACTTAGGAGGAGATGAGGAGGACAGCGACCGAGTTCTTCAGACTATGACGCTGGCTTAGCCTTTCAATGCAAGTTTCTCCAAATTTTTTAAACCAGCGCATCAAACGAGTAGTTGAGGGGAGGAAGAGGAGGAGAAAGAGAAGGAAGACGAAGCTTGTGGGTCTAGGTACTAAACAAGAGTGAGAATGAATGGGTACTAACATCTAGAACAGGAACAAGTTAACTTTACTGAATGAACGAATAAAAAGTTGGTAAAATGCAGCAAAAACTGGAAGGAAGAAGACGGAGGAAGAAGAGGAGAGAGGGAGGAAGAGGAGGGAAGGTTGAGGAGGAGGAAGAGAGAGAAGGTGTATGAATGTAGTTTAGGATAGCAGTAGAGTGAAATAACTTGTGTGGTACGTTCAGGTGCTAGAGGGACCAACAGATGGGCTGGCTTTGTTAAGCTGTGGTGAGGTGGCGCCCCCTGGTGGGCAGCTGGAGCAAAGCGGTCCTCACCGTTTCCTCATCACTTCATTCTTCGCTTTGAGTCAGATCCTGCAGCGCCATGTTCATGATTGTTCTGTGAAGATCCGGAAGAACCGAGCCTCCGGGTCGCAACTGCGTTTATGTTTTTATTGTTCTTAGTCATATCAGTCGGTACCGGCGTTCGCTGTTTTGTCCTGACTGTCATTGAATGCTTCGTCCTGTTGAGGTGAACTCAACCAAACCTGGCGGTGCGTTCACTGCCAGGTTAGGAGGTTCCAAATGGTTCTGTTAGCATTCAATGTCAGAACTTTACTCATGTTTGATTGTTTACTACAGAAATTTAAAGTATATTTTCATCCAGTAGCTGCTTTTCTCCATTACAAAAAGTAAACTAAAGATGTTCTGACATTTTTCTATAGATTATGACCTTATTTGGCAACTGAACAAGTGTGAAGCTTTTAATTTTATCTTTTTTGGTGAAGATAAAATATTTACCTGTTCATCAGAGTAAAGATCAAAAATGGTACGATAGAAATTCAGACTCTTTTCCTCTGAGGTACATTGAACGCAGCTTTGTATCAACAGATAGTGTACTGCTTCTGATTGGCTGCCATGTTTTAAGCTCGACCAATGAGAACACTTGTAGATGCACTTTTTATCCCAGCTGTTGGAACCTGTGAGGTTCTGTTAATGACCAGGTCAGAAGAATCCGGGTTATATTTGGGTATCACCATCATCATCATCATCATCTTCTACCTGATGCTGGTTGTCCTAATGATGGTACTCCCTCCACTCTTAACGTCTTTATTACATTTTTTAGCTACATATTTGCTTTTAGTAGCATTTTATTGACACTATTATAGAATAAATTGCCTTTTTTCTTATTTTGTACATTTATCTTGTATTAATTATCCTGTTTTTTATGTTACCTTTTGTTTACGAAGACAGTATTATTAAATACGCCGTCTTTTGTTGTTCTCTGTACAGAAATGAAGCTGATTTGCATCTTTTCTTTGGAAAAGGAATTTCATGGTAGACTTTTATCTGAGTGTGACTTGTAATACATTTTTCTAACTGAAAGCTGCAGCTGTGTATTCATGCTGTCAGTGTCTGTCATGATGCTGGAAGCATTTAAACTTGGTCTTAAAAACTTTTCCAGAATCACCTCCATTTGTCATAAATGTTTTCCTGTTCTTTGGCTCAGACAACACGACGTTTCCTTCTGAGCGTGTGCAGCGTGAGGCCAGATGGGATTCATACGGAAGAAGATTACAGCCTCTGGAAAAACACATAATTTACTTTTTTTCTCAGAAGTCCAACTATAAACTCAGAATTCTGTTTAATTTAGACTTTAAACTTGTCTTTAATTTTAGGATTCTTATTGTAATCTCAGAATTTGGGGAAAACATTCTCAGCATTCTGGGGTGAATTTCATAATTGTGTTTTTATTTTTCAGTGGCCCTAATCTTCTTCTGTAACTTCACGGTGTGATTTACTTTTTAATTTGTTTAAACCACCATCATGCCTCATCCCCACTGAACTCTCCTCACCAGTAAATGTGTGGATTACTATCGGCCCACCGGTGGCATCTTGTAGTGGAAGGAGAGACGTGATCATGGGTGCTGATTTGAAAGCATGAAAACATGTTAAACAACAAAAAAAAGTGTAAATATGGCATAAATAATTGCTGGAGTATGAATGATTAATACAATAAGAAAAATAAAGAATGAATGAAATTTAAACTTCTGTGTCCTGTCATCTATCGATACCGTGGAATAAAAGTAAAACTAAACTGAAAACGTATAAGACGCTGAACTGAGGACTGAGCTGCCCTGTGAAATACGTCACAGTGTGCTGACGACAGTAAGCTACCTTCGATAGCTCAGTTGGTAGAGCGGAGGACTGTAGAGGCGTCTGCCAGTTATCCTTAGGTCGCTGGTTCGAATCCGGCTCGAAGGAGGCAACTCTTTTGTCATTTGTTGTGAAAACGACTGCAGCATGCAATGCAAGCTATCCTCGGAGTTATTCGCGTTTCAGGCAGTCTGGTTTTGCTATATACTTTTATTATTGCTTATTTATTTCTTATTATTGGAGCCTTGCTACGACATTTCTTTCAATTTGTACATTTTTAAATGTACAATTGAATGACAATACACTGTCTATGTCTAAAAATGAAGCACAACAACGAACTGTTCATGGAAAAGTGCTGGAAAGAAACATTTTTTTAAAGCACAGAACAATGGATTAATTTGTTTAAATGCTTTCCTGTCAGTACGGTGATCTATGTTCGCTACGGGGGAAAAAAATAAAAATCGGAGAAGTCATGTAAGTTTTGCAAAATGTATGTAATATCAATGTATGTATGATCTCCTGATAAACTAATTAAATAAATAAATAAATAAATGCTTTCTTTATGCTGCTCGTTTTAAGGAGGGTTAAGAAGAAACGCTGAAAATGGCTAAAGGAACTTCCGATGATTTCCTCACCACTTAGACAGAAAACAACTGTTCCCTGACCGGGAATCGAACCCGGGCCGCGGCGGTGAGAGCGCCGAATCCTAACCACTAGACCACCAGGGAGCGCTTAACGAACCGTTACGTCATCGAAATTTATAGTGGAGTGAGTCAATGTTCAATGGACGATGATTGAGTTTTCCTCAATATATACCAGCTGTAGTGCAGCTAAACCTTGGAGATCTGCATCCAAACCATCTTTTACCGCACATTCACCACCGCTGCTGTCCACCGGGTCGGCGGTTATATTCCCGGGCGTCTCCTCCTTCAGTCCTGGAGCGTCCTTCGCCCAAATCGCTCAGGTATCCGGTCCGGTCCTTGCCCCGTGTGGCCTTTATTTTACATCCAGAGGTCCTTTTTATTCCTGCAGCCGTGAGTCAAGCATTCCCCCTACAGCCCAAGATAATGTTTCTCCGGTTAAAATTCTGGAGCTGCACCGGTCCGACGTTCAGCGTCTCCTCACACCGCGCACCTGCCCCCCCTCCTGTCACACCTGTGTCTCTGTTTAGAAGTTCGGGTAAAAGTTGTGACCCAGATATTTTACCCCGTGGACTTTTACAAACAAAATAAATACATAAAAGACATCCTTGTGCGTATACTAATACAAACAATTTATTTGTATTTTATTGATCTACGTTTTATTCTCTGTAGTTAACTCTTTTTCCCCCAGAGGATACTTTATTTTATTGTGATGTCACAAGCTTCCCCTAAATTCATTTTTATGGATAAATTCTAAAGCGTTTATGTAGTTGGCCGTTTTGTAAACTTTTAGTTGAACAAAATTTCCAATTCTCTTTTTCATTTAAAGCTTTATTGAGCAAGTGGCAAGTATACAACTGAACAAATAAATACAGAATAATCGAGCAAAGATGCAACCATGACTGAAAGATCTGTTCCAAAGAACTACTTCCAGAAGCGTAACCATTATGATAGGTTTTAGGTAA